TTTTAGCAGCCGACCAAATGTAAGTACTCACTTCTTATCTGCTTTACTTTGTGCATCATAGAGTTTGCATTGAGGACAATGCAAAATTTAGATGTGGGGGTGGGAATTAGTTATTTTCCTCTTCATTTTACCTTTTTAGTTGCATTTTTGTCATTTTTTCCATTTCCTTAAAAAATATTATAAAAATATCGTCACTTGCAAAATTGATAGAGTTATGCAATAATTGATTTATTTGGTAAATTTTAAATTTTCTAATCTCTAGTTTGTTATTTACTCAAGTTTACCTTCTATGATAACTCTAAATAAATTTCTTAAGAAATGATTTTCAAAGTAGTATACTTTACTTAAGCCTTAACTTAGAGTTTTATTTAAAATAATAGAATTTATGCATGCTTAGCTTAGAGTTAAAAATAATTTTTCAAAGTGTCTTGACTTACATATTTTTTTCAGAATATATATACATATACATAAAAAAATTGCAAAAGAAGAGTGTGAAAAATGGGCACCAAAAGAAAAAGAAAGAAAGAAAAAAAACTCTTAAATTCAAGATGATTCTATCTTATAAAGCCTAAGCTGACCGAGTAATTAAGTCCAAGGAGTATTTCCATACTTCATGACCTAAGCCCAATTGAGTTGGGATCTATTGGCCCAAAACTCGTTAAATGGTCGCTTAGAAAGCCTGTTAAAGTAGAAAAAAAATCACCAAGGAAGAAAGAGTTAAAAAAATAATAATAATATAAAAAAATAATAAAAAAAGTAATAATAAAAATACTAATAAAATGTTTTATATATATAGTTATATTTGTATATATGGTCTTGGAAAATATTTTAGATCAAGCAACTTAAATATTATTTTAAACAAAGAGTTAGCATGTTCTTTTCAAAACTTTTAAATTAAATTTCTAAGTTTGGCTTGGTTTTGTATTGCTATAATGAGAAGATTTTCTAGGAAATTTACCTTAGAGTTATTTATAAAAACGTTTTCTTGAGTGATAACTAGCTTCAATTAGATTGTCTAAAGTAATCAAGTGAATTTAGTTATTTACTGACTTCTTTAATTTGGCAAGTTGACTAAATTTTGTGGGTATATTCACTGCAAACCCTCACGAGACTACAACTCGTCCATTAGGGTAACATAGAGGTTTAAAGGCTTGTTGTATGTGCTAAACACAACCGCGATTCCTGCGAAAGTGAGTTAAGATTTTTTTTTCTTTGCTAGAGGACTAGCAAAAGTTTAGGTGTGGGGGTATTTGATAATCACATTTTATTATAATTTTATACATTTATTATCTATTTTATATGAATAAATATACCGCTAATAATTGTTTTTATTTTTAATTACAGGTTAATGAAGAATAAATCTTAAAAATCTCATATCTCAACAAAAACTCATTGATTTAATGAAGAAAATAAGTGTGAAGCCCAAAAGCCCAAGAGCCAAAAGCCCAAAGCCAAATACAAGAGGAATTCTCAGACAGCAACCAGAAAGGGGTGCACATTGATGCCAGCATCGATGGTGGCATCGATGCTAGTATCGATGCCAGCATCGATACCCCTATGGATGCTGGTATCGATACCATCAGCAGGCAGTTAGGAATCTAAGGCTGAAATTCATGATTTTTGGATAAGATTTCGATCCAATGACTCTCATTCACTGATGTTTACTATAAATAGGGATAGAAAGTGAGGGGTTAGAGATGTTGATAATCATATTTTTATTACAATTTTATACCCTCATTATCTATTTTTAATGAATAAATATACCACTAATAATTGTTTATCTTTTAATTGCAGGTTAATGAAGAATAAAAGCCCAAGATCACTTCTCTCAACAAAATCCCTAAAGATTTAATAAAGAATACAAGCAACAAGTCCAAAAGTCCAGGCCCAAAAACCCAAGAAAAATAAATATACCATCAAGGAACAAATGAAGAAGTTTTGTGAAAAAGGAAATAAATCATGCAATCTGGATATTTCGGTAATGTTTGGTGTTTTGGCCATATCTCTCTCGTATCAACTCGGAATTGGCTGAATAAACATTCTATGGAAAGCTGAGAACGAGATCTATAACTTTTGTATTTATGATATCTCTAAAATCGGAACATATCATGAACAAATATTCATATAAAGAAGCACAATCTGAATTTCTATGCTGGAGAAGTAATTATGTGAAGAATTTGAAGGTTAATAAAGATCAAGATCTCTTCTTTTAACAAAAGCTCATTGAATTAATGAAGAAAACAAGCAAAAGGCCTAAGAATCCAAGCCCAAAATCTCAAAGGCTAAAAATAATTCCTTAGGGCTTAAGTCTTCATCCAAGGGTTCTTATTCATTGTTGTTTACTATAAATAGGGGTAGAGAGTGAGTGGTTGAGGGTGTGAAAATTTTTGTAACTCCTTTTGGAGAGGAGGACTACTCTTAATTAAGAAGGCCTTCTAAATTTATAACTTTTGTTATAATTAATAAAATAATTTTTTTCACCACTTTAAATTTTTCTCTTTTTCTCTTTGTTGGATGATGAAGATGAAGATGGAGATTAATTTGAAGGTTTGTTTTTCTTATTTCTCTTTTATTGCTTATTAGTTTAGATTTATTTTTATGCTTGTAATTAGATTTTATTTTCTTGTTTAAATAGCCAAGAGGCTAGAACCCTCTTGCCTTAGATTTATTTCATGCTTATAGATTATATTTATTTTATGCTTATAGAGTAGATTTATTTTCTTGCATTTTATTTTTGTAATTTATTTTGTAGTTTAGATTTTGTAATTTATTTTGTAGTTAGATTTTAATTTCTTGCACTATTCACCTTGAGGCTAGAACCCTCTTGGGTTTAGTTTTTCTTTTTGTTTATTTTTATTTTCTTTGATTCGCCTTTAGGCTAAAACCCTCTAGGAAATCATAATTTTCTAAGAAGTGGATTCAATTCTAGATTACCCATATCTTTAATTGAATCTGTCATCTTTACTTTCTTGAATTTTATTTTTATTTTTGATTTTTATTTGTTTCTCGATTTTATTCATTCTTCTTTCTTGCCTTGTTGATCACATTTATTTTTACTTACATCCACTCTCAAACACATTGATTTACACACTATCACTTTCACTCTCATTATCTCTCCACAATCACATTCACTCATCACTCCTATTTGTCACGCACACAACATAAGAACCGATTTTATATTTTCTCCTACAAAACACCTTCCTCGTGGGATCAATATCTTTATACTATAACTTGACGCGGTTGTGCACTTGCAATATTTTTGGTACATGTTTATGCCGCATCAGGTGTGAAAATTTTTATAACTCCATTTGGAGAGGAGGGCCACTCTTAATTGAGAAGACCTTCCAAATTTGTAATTTTTGTTACAATTAATAAAATAATTTTTTCACGACTTTAAATATTTCTTCTCTTTGTTGGATGATGAAGATGGAGATGAAGAATTATTTGGAGGTTTGTATTTATTTTATTTTTCTCTTTTATTTTTTTTATTGCTTATTAGTTTAGATTTATTTCTATGCTTGTAGTTAGATTTTATTTTCTTGTTAAATAGCCAAGAGGCTAGAACCCTCTTACCTTAGATTTATTTTATGCTTATAGAGTAGATTTATTTTCTTGCATTTAATTCTTATAATTTATTTTGTAGTTTAGATTTTACAATTTATTTTGTAGTTAGATTTTTGCACTATTCACCTTGAGGCTAGAACCCTCTTGGGGTTTAGTTTTTCTTTTTGTTTATTTTTATTTTCTTTGATTCGCCTTTAGGCTAGAACCCTCTAGTGATTCGCCATTTTATTTTCTTGTACTATTTGCCTTGAGGCTAGAACCCTCTCGGGGTTAGTTTTTCATTTTGTTCATTTTTATTTTCTTTGATTCGCCTTTAGGCTAGAACCCTCTAAGGAATCACTCTTTTCTAAGAAGTGGATTCAATTCTAGATTATCCATATCTTTAATTGAATCCGCTATCTTTAATTTCTTAAATTTTCTTTTTATTCTTAATTCTCCTTTTTGATTCTTGATTTTATTCATCTTTCCTTGTGAAAATCATTCATTCTTTGTCACATCTACTCTCACTTACATTTTGTGCCGATTTATACACTATCATTTTCACTCTCTCTATCTCTCCATAATCACATTCACTCATCACTCCTAATTGTCACGTACACAATATAAGAACCGACTTTAATTTTCTCTTACAAAACATCTTCCTCGTGGGATCGATAACTTTTTATACTATAACTTGATTAGTTGTGCACTTGCAACTTTTTGGTATATGTTTATGCCGCATCATATATGAAGATATATATTGTTTCATATCTATATAACTAAATAAAAACATATATGTATATATATAACTATATATATACAAAACCAAAACGTGTATGTGTGTATATAATTGAGCTTAAAGTACTAACACACATAATATAAAAACCTAAACTAAATTACCCAAACAATGATCTTGATCTTTAATAAGCTCTTCTTGGTAAATTTGCGGATGAAACTTGAACTTGAATCTTTGACTTGAATTGCATGGCTTCACTCCACTATTCCGCCAACCTCCATTGGATATGATCGTGAAAGCTCGATTCCATCCATCGTCTAACATATTGTTTGCCTAGAATAAATACAAAATACAAACATTAGACAAACAACATTAGTTATAAATTGTTTGTTAATCGTCATCAAAACAAAAGGACCCAACATATACAAACCTAATAAATTAAACTCACCCGTGCGAGCATGACCCTAACACCTTTTTTACCAGAGGAAAATCACAATAAAATGGAACTGATGTTACATTTTCTAGGTAGAGTTATGTTTAAAATAAAGTTTTTCTCTACCACCGAAAATAAATTCTCACAGCTTCGCGTGCGTATAGTACTATGTACAATCTACTATTTTCAAAATAATACAATTTACTAGTTCCCAAATAATACAAGTCCCGTCTACAAAGTAATTTTGGTGTGCTTGGATTTGGGTTCCGGGTAGTAATCGGGTGTAATCCGATCTGGTAAACACGATAAGCTGATAGAAAAGAGCCACTAACAGATGGATAAAGAAAGGGACAGCGGAAGAAGAAGAAGAAGAAGAAGAGGAGATGCCGACGTCGTCCCTCGCGTTCCGCCGCTTTTTCTGCTGCGCCATCGGCGGAGCTTCTCCTTCAACCAACAACACCAAGAGGAATCTAGTATTCTTGGGCTCTCCAAAAGTAAGCGTCTCTTGCTCTCTCTAAATCTCTCTCACACCCTCTAACCGTTTGTGTTAATTCCTGAATGATGATCAGGTCGCCGCATCAGTGTTGGACGCTCTATTCAATGCCTCTGAAGCTCAAGACTCAATCTTTAAGGTATTTCAAGTGGACCCATTTCAATTCTCAACCTCAATTTCTACAGATTAGTGTTTAAATGGCTAATGCAGTTGCTAATTGAAGCAATTTGGAGTATAAAGGTCCAATTTTTTTATTTAGGAGAAACTATTTTCTTCTTGATTTACACATTATTTCTAGTTTCTGTAATGTGGATTAAGCTTTCAAATGAGACGAGTAGTATCCTGTTTCTGCATTTTTTTGCTTTGCTTTTTTTTTTTCTTAGTTGCTTACATGCTCTAGTTACTGTAAGTTTTGTTCAGCCGGTGTTGGGGTTATTTCATAACTAGCTGTAGTTTTTCTGCGGATTACTATTTTCTAGCAGTATTTATGTGGGAATCATTTGTTCCTTCTATTTTATGCGTTCAGTTATGAAAAGGCTAAACTGCCAAATTGGTATTTAAAAAGGACCCATTTTATCACTTTGGTATTTAAAATATCTTCGATGACGTTTTGGTATTTAAAATGGGCACCTAGGTCTAAATTTTAGTCGGCGTTAAGTTTTCTGAGGAAACACATCACGTGATCATCACGTGACCCTTAATGACCTTTACAAAAAGCTAATGTGGCTTTGATTAGTGACGTGGAATGGATTAACTAATTTGGGAGGTTATAAAAGGGGGTGAAACCAACAGCTAGGGCAGAGCAAATTAGGGGAAAACTCAGATTGGGGTTTATTCAGCTGAGGGGAGGAGATAGGCAAAATTGCTTTGGGGGATCTCAAGGATGGCCTCTTCAAGCTCAAGCTCGCGGTCAACGAGGAGCGTTAGTGGCGGGAATAGTGGAATGACCGCATGTTTCAACAAATTGCACTTCATTCAAAAGTGGAATGAAGAAGCAAAAATTGAGGGGGTAAAGAAGTGTAAATGTGGGTTAGATTGCATGTATCTAATCTCCTTCACTGATGAAAATCCTGGCAGAAGGTTCTACAATTGTCAAAAGCCAAAAGGTGACTTTAACTTCAAGTTGAATTTTGTTTTTTGGTAATTATTTGATTTTCTAAAATTTTGTTTGAACTAAATGTTTATAATATTGGTTGTGGATTGTGGGAATGGTATGATCCGCCAATGTGCAAATTTGCTGCTAATTTAGTGCTTCTACTACGAGATGAAATTATGAAGTTGAATTGCCACATGAATGAACTAGATGAATTGTCTGAAGAGAGGGGCAATAATCTGCATTTGTACATTCGTCAAAATCATCAGTTATAGTATAAGACCAATAGCTGTGAAGAGGAAAACAAAATATTGAAGAAGAATACGGTTATGTGCCAAAATGAAACTGCAGCTTGTTTGGAAGAGATTGGTAGATTGAGAGATGATTTTGTTTTACAGAAAAGGTCTCAAATTGTACGAGGTTGCTTCTTTGATGTTAGTTATATTTATGTTGTTCTTGTTGATTTGAATGAGTAATGTAATTGTGTTTAATGTAATATTTAATTACTTTTAAATGAAATGCTTATTGAGCAAATGGTGTGCTTATTGACAATATTATATGCAAATTTGGCAGCATTTTGTCTGTAATTTGCAAAAATACTCTGGCATAATTACATGTACAAGCCTGATAGTGACTATAACATTTGATCCATGGAAACCATCAATATCATATTACATAACGAACAAGTAACCTTGCATAAACAACCAGAATTTGTCCAAACAAAGTGCAAAGTACAAATAACAAAAACCAAGCCAAGAACAATGGTATTAGCACTGCCATATCAAAAAACATGTCTTATTATAAAAATTACAAGCTTTAGTCCCATCCCACTTGGTGTATTCTTCATTGTTGTTGAGTTATAAATTGTGATTGTTGATTTTGGTCTACAATTTTAGGTGCACTTTGAGATTCATTCATCACAATAGGTGATTGACTAACAGTTGGATCCATGAAGACCACCTCACCATTATCTCCCTGCCAAACACTGAAGCGTTTCTCCAGTTAGAATATATGTGTGTTGCACATTATCTATGCTCACTTTTGATCACATTTCATGAATGGCAAGTACAAGCCCCTATCAAATAATAACACAGATAAACTGTAATTTGCAAATTCTAGCAACAATTTAATTTGAGATCTAAACTATAATTTCATACGTTTTGTTGATCTGACATGGCAGTCCATACTTGACTATCCCCCATTTCCAAATTTGCATTAAAACATCTAAGAAACCATTGCCAAGGGTTCTTATTTTCTCCCTTTAACTACAGCCTATGCAATTGGAAATATGTGGTTGTTTTCATCCCTCCCAACAACACTTAGTAACTAGCCTCCATATGAATGCTTGAGAAAACATCCATCTAAGCCAAAGAACCTCCTACAACCATGTAGAAAATCCAATGTCATTGCTTTAAAACATATATAAATTCTCATGAATATAAATGGTTGTCTGAGTTCTGATTCATGGACCTTTAAAATAGCACTAGTGCCTTGATTTGATTTGCACAACTCTCTTAAGACTTGAGCAATTCATACTGTCTTTGCATTAAGCTATGCACAACATTGAGTGTCTTGTCCTTGGCCCTTGCACATTTGCTCTCATTTACATTTACTCCAAAATTTGTTCTCATATCAGCAGCAATTTCCCTTGGCTTCATTTTAGGATTCTTTAATAGTTGGTCTAAGTAAGTTTGATCAATCCAATTCTCAGTTATTAGTCTATTCTTGAATGACCTATTGCATGTGTGTGTAGGGGATACATGCCTGATTTGCTATGTCATTTTATCTATGTGATCTACTCCAGCAGTCAACTCCCAATTGCACAAAGAACATCCAGTATGAAGCCTTTTTTTGGTTATTTTTTTATATAGACCAAATCATAGTTTTTTTGCATACAGTACATGAGTATAGCTTCTTTTAGTACATTTCTTGAAGTGAATCTCAATCCAGATTCAAAAAATACCTGTTACATGTCCACATCCTTATTGAAGAACTTGTAGTTTATTGGCTCCTTCATTTTCTTTTTCCTTTTAGTTGATAACTATTGCTTCATCTTCACTTGACTCCAAAGTATCTTCATTAGCACTATCTCTCTAATCTGATTCATATCCTTCTCTGTAAGATGTCCAATATTTAGATCATTTTGCATTGCTTGGCATTGCTCCTTTTGCTCTAGGACCACCTACAATCAAACCCTCAATATCATCATTATCTTGTTCAAGAGATTGATTATCATTTGGTTCACATGGCTGGTTGTGAGCATTTGGTTCTGTTGGTTATTTTTTATCTACTTTTGTTGGTTGTTCTGCATATGCTTCTGTTAATTGTTTTGCATCTACTTCTATTGGTTGTTTTGCATATGTTTCTGTTGGTTGTTCTGCGTTTGCTTATGTTGGTTGTTCCTCATTTGTTTCAGAATATTGTTCTGCATTTGGTCCACTTGGCTGATCTGCATTTGGTTCACTAGGCTGATCTGCATATGGTTCACTAGGCTATGCATGTGCTTGACTTGGCTTTGCATGAGTTTCAGTTGCTTGTCCTGTATCTGTTTCACTTGGCTTATCCATTTGAATCCTTGCATCATAATTGAAAGCTATTTTACCATTCTGCGCAGCTAATAGGGCAATATTTCTCTATCGTCTCATGAAGCTCCTCATGGTTACTATTCAATGTCTTTTCTACTTTACAGTCAACTGAGACATTATTTTCATATCCCTTCGAGATATTAGCTTCATAGTTAAAATGACATTCATTAGTCGAGTCCTTTTTCTCCACTCTATCTCTGGAATCTTCAACCAACTCCTCATCATCATCTACCAATTCAGTTGGGTCAATTTCGTATGTTTCATCCTTTACAGAGTCATCATCATCAGTAGAGGATACATTCTGATCAAAATGAGTTGGAGTGGCAATATTTTTTTTCCCTTTTCACCTCTTGATAATAATTATAGGGGTTAATTTCTTCCTTTCAGGTGTTGGTTTCTTTCTCATAGGGGTCATCTTCTTTCTCTTAGGGGTTGTCTTCTTTCTCCCTCTGAAGACACTAGTTTTTTTAGGAGTAGACTCATTAGAGTCATGAACTCCATGTTGATTAGCTTGCACTGGAGGATCTTCATCTGGATTGGCATCCACTTCAATAGGTTGATCAACAAAATGGTTTGTAAAAACTTTAATTACTCTCTCCTTATGTGCATATTCCTTGAATTTTGCTAAGTCTATATTTGGATTGACAAGAGGCATAATGACTCCAACTCCACCATCAGGTATGCCATATACCACAAAGTGAAAGCATCAATATACCTATATTCTAATTTTTTTCTCTCAACAAGTCTATAGTCAGAATGTCTTCATTAATGAATTGCACATGAAAGGAGTCACTAATATATTGATCTGACATTAGAACCTACCATATCTGAATTTAATTACCACCCATTTGCACGATGAACAAAAACAAAACTGAATTACAAACCACAATCACATTCTGCTCTGCTCTAAATATTACAAAACCCCTAAATTTTTGAAAAATCCACTTCGATGTCATTCACATAAAACCTAGTTTGTTAAAATTAAGACTTATAAACACTCAAAAACTACATTTTCACCTAATAAACAATATTTTAAACACATGCACCTTTAAGGACCAAGGTAATGTGAATAAATTCACCTTTTTCTCTTCAATGAGGATGATCAAGGTTTTACTGCAGATTCTCAGACATCGCTTTCACTTTCCCACGATCCCTTTTCAGCGAGATTACTAGCAACTACAAGTTTGGTAACAATCTACCTAACCGCTCGATCGATAGAACTTTGAAACGTATGAAGAATGGGGCAATCTGTCAATTTTAGGGCGTCTGATTTCATTTTGTTAGTTATTTTATGTCATGTGAGCGGCACATGTGCGGTTAATCCATTCTACGTCACTAATCTATACTGCATCAGCTTTTTGTAACGGTCATTAATATCACGTGATGGTCACGTGATGTGTTTTGTCAGAAAACTTAATATCGACCAAAATATAGATCTAGGTGCTGACATAAACTCACTTT